ATGGACCAAGAAATGCAGTCCCAAAAAAATGCAAAGGAGGGGATGGCAGCGGCACAGCTTCAGAGATCAGGTGGGACTCCTCCACCCTGTAGCTCGCCACGTGGCCCTGGCTTTCCTGCATGGCTAGCAATCTTAAAGAGACCAGCTCTCTTAGTGCTCACAATTACAGTGGGTAAGCTTTTAAGAAATCCCACTCCATGAAAGGACCCTCAACAACGAGGTATAAGCCACAAGTAAGTGGTAATCAAAGCTTCTTTCTCACAGTGATTAGTGGAGGCACTGAGGACTCTAGTCTGCAGAAACGGGCAGCCCTAGTGCAGGGGGACTATCTATCAGGCACTCCCCAAAAGTGAGCGTCCCACAACTCCGGAGCCTGGAGCCTTTCTGACTCATGACCGTGACAGCTAGGAGTGGTGACCAGATCCACGACACTGGTGGGGAAGCAGGACACAACAGAGGGCAGCACGCATTGGCTGTGATGTCCTGCTAACGCAAGACAGGTCCCCGGCTGCCCGGGAATTCAGTCTGACACAGGCTCAATCTGACAACCAGCCACACCACTTTCTTGCTGCCACTGTCTAGCTTAGTACTGGGGTCTGGCGTGAGTCATTTCCCTCTTACTTACGCCTGGTGAGGTCTAGCGCTCAGGGTCTTTCTGGTCTCTCCCCGCTCTCCAGCAGAGAGTTCCAGCAGTTCACGTCTTCCAGAGCGCCGCGAGTCACCGTCAGGACGACAGAGGGATTCAAGCACCTGGGCAAACCAAAAGCATTTTTTATTAGATGCCCATGCCACACCGCCGTCATGGTGAAAACAACTATCCTTTCTATACCAACTCCTTCGCACTCAGCCACGAGGACCACACGTGCGCGGCGTCTTCCCCACTGACGGGCCTAGTGCAGGGCACGCGCGCTCAGGCAGGCCAGCAGTGTGCTGTGCACCTCACACGCACGTCCCTCTCTCTAGAACACGACTAGAAGGAAACCTCATCTACGTGCCCTGACTTACAGGTCCCCGACACCACGGACCAGCAAAGCTGGGGCTTTGGGGACAGGCCACTTGAATTGGGCCTGGTGCAGTCAGGGGTGGTGGCCATGGAGGCAGGGGGAGGGGGCTGCCCTGAGGGAGCCGGCGGATTTGCCCCAGGCTCCCCTGTCCCTCCTACGCCTGGCCTGGGGGCGGCCTTTGCTGCCCAAGTTGGTGGGGCACACATTTCCCACTCAGTTGGCTTACCACAGGCTGGCACTGTGGGTTCAGCTGGTGGCAGTCAGGTGGCTCCTGCACCCGGTCCTCACCTCTACTGAGATGTGCCCATGTCCCAGGAGCAGGCCGACTGGGACACCTGTGTCCTGAGACCTGGGGAAGTAAAGACCGCCTCCAGGCCAGGATTTGAGGGAGACTGGAGCAAATAGACTGGCACCTTCAAGGCAGGCCCCCTCCCCCAGCTGCCACCCCTGCTCCCCCCACTCCTGTGGGCCCCCCTCCCCAGCTCTCTGACACATAGCACCCACCTCCTGGGAGCTGGCTGACCTGGGGACGTGCCTACAGGGGACCTGCCTACAGGGAACATGGGGCGGCAGAGGCCGCCCCTAGTCCAGGCTGCAGGGGAGATGGGAGCAAACCCACAGGCTGGCACAGGGCAGCCTCCCTTGTCCCACCCTCGTCCCACCCTCGCAGCTGCCACCACTGCAGTCTTCCCCACTCCTTGACCAAACCGCACAGGCCTCCAGGAAGCTGGCTGACCTAAACATGTGAGTCCTGCAACCCTGGGGCAGCAGAGGCTGCCTCCAGGCCAGGCCACTGGGGAGACAGGAGTAAATCCAAGGGCTTGCACAGGGCAGCCCCCATCCTGCCACCGCTGCCCCCACCCCTGACGGCCCCATGCCAGCGTCCTGGGAGCAGACTGACCTAAGGACATGGGTCCAGTGAACCCGGGGCAGCTAGGCCGCCCCAAGGCCATGCCCTGGGGCAGATGGGAGCAAATGACTGGCTCACAAGGGGCAGCCCCCCTCCTCCTACCACCTGTAGTGTTGCTGCCATCCTCCCAGCCCCCTGACCACACTGAGCCCGTGGTCTTCCCAAAGTGGGTATATACAGTGAACATATCTCAACATAATAAAAGCTACTTACGACAAACCCACACCCAGCACAGTACTGTACAATGAAAAGCTAAAAGCTTTTCCACTAAAATCTGGAACAAGACAAGGATGCCCACTCTCACCACTTCTAGTCAATATAGTATTGGAAGTCCTAGCCATAGTAATTAAACAAGAACTAAGACATTCAAATTGAAAAGAAAGAAAATTGCCAGTATATGCGGATGACATACGATTTATAGAAAACCCTAAAGGCTCCACACACAAACTGCTAGAGCTAATAGAATTCAGCAAGGCAGCAGAATACAACATCAACATACAGAAATCAGTGGCATTTTTTTTTCACAAAAGTAATAATACGTTTTAAAACTGCATCCAAAAATATAAAATACTTACAAATAAATCTGACCCAGAAAGTGAAAGACATAAGCAGAGACCTACAAAACACAAGGACATTAAACAGGACTTAAAGAAATGGAAAGATATTCCATGTTCTTGCATTGGAAGAATTAATATTGCTAAAATGGCCATACTACCCAAAGCAATATAAAGATTTACTATGAACCCTATCAAATTACCCAGGACATTTTTCAAGAATTAGAACAGATAATCCTAAAATGTATATGAAATCACAAAAGACCCAGAATTACCAAAGCATTACTGAAGAAAAAGAATGAAGCTAGAGCAATAACCCTTTCAGACTTCAGACAATACAGAACTACAATCAAAATAGCATGTACTGATACAAAAACAGACATATAGATCAATGGAACAGAATAGAGAGCCCAGAAGGAAACCCACAAACTTTTCATCAATTAATCTTTGACAAAGGAGGCAAGAATATACAATAGAATAAAAA